GAGGGGATTGTAATTTCTAAAATGTGAGGGGTGTCAATGTAATTTACCCAATGAGGGCAAAATTGGTATTTAAAAAAATTAAATTGCTGAGAGAGAAATCTGTAATGAAACTTTAAACCTCAGGGGAGAGATGTAATTTCCAAAAGATGAGGGGAGAAATTGTAATAAATATAAATCTCAGGAGGTGTTAGTATAATTTACCCAAAATAAAATGAAATGGTGTTTTGAGAATGTAGTAAAAAGCTATGTTTTTTATTTTTTTATATATTTTTTTGATTTTTTTGGTGTAAAAAAATAGAGAAGTGGATATGACTCAAAAAAAATTTAAAAGTAAAAAAGCTAATTTTTTAACCTGTTGTCAAAACACCCTAAAATAGAAATAAATTAATAGTAAAAATGAAATACATGGTCAAATAGAATGAAATGCTCATTCATATTTCACTGTTTGGTTGATATTGTGGGAATTGAATGGCCATACTTATTTCCTAATCTCATGTTTGATTTGTTAAGTAAATTTAGAATAGAATGGTAACAAACTAATAACTACTATATTAAATATTGCATATTAATCATATTAAATTTAAAAAAAATTAAAAATAAAATCATTAATATGAACAAAATAATAAATTTTTTATAAAAAAAAATAGTAATGTCTTTTAAAAAGAAATTTTTTAATTTGTCAACAAGAAATAACAATCACTTGTGCAGTGTTTATGTATTGAATAAAAATTAATTTTTCAAATTAGTTCACATTTCAAAAAAAAACATAAAATGAAAGATACAAATCACTTAATCTTGTGCATATGAAACAAAATTTAAATCAAGAAAAAAAATACAAACAAACTATATATATAAAAAAAAATAATGTGATACATATATATATATATATATATATTCTATTATACATTGAATATGATTTCATAGAGTTATATATATATGTGCCTTACAACTAACATCTAAATAAATTGAAACATAATTTAAAAAATATATATATTGAACCTATATATATATTGATCATGATAGAAGAATAATGATGGAGTCATGTATGGCTGATTGTTTAGTATGTGAGAGTATTCATAGAAAGAGATTGAAGAGAGAGAGAAGAAAAAAAAATTTCCTGAAACCTCATAGAAAGAGATTGAAGAGAGAGAGAAGAAAAAAAAATTGCCTCAAACCATCATTTTATTTTTTATTTTTATGAGAGAGATCGTTATTTTATTTTATGATGATTCTCTATTGAAATAGAATTCTTTAGCTTCTCATATGGAATATGTATTCTTACTTTTTTGTTAGAATCACTTAAATAAAATATACCAAAATGAGGGAAAGAAAATAAAAAATTAAAATAGACATTCCATTCAAATCCATTCCATCATACCAAATGTGCTTTTTAAGTGTGTGATTAGCCTTTCTTTGAGTTATTTACAGTCTTGCCATTATTGGGTTGTTTGGTTGCAGTGTTAGGTGTGAACTGTATGGGAAGTGACAAATATATGGAAAGCCAGATCTTGATTCACACGTTTTGTTAAAGCGAGTCACGCGACTATTTCAGGGTTTGGTTGCATGAAGCTCTATTTTTTGAAAATTAATAATTTAAAAAATATATATTTAAAAAATATCAGTATGTTTAGTTTCAATTTTTTGAAAATTGATTTTTTTATTTTTATATTTTTTTGTTTTGAGTGAATATTTTTAAAATTTTAAACAATTTTTTTATTTTTTTAGATGCACCTATTTAAAAATAAATATTTGTAAAAAAATATTTTAAAAAATCAATAAATACACAAGAATATAAAAAATATACTGAATTCTCATTTTTTTATTAATATTTTTGCTATTTAGTGAATTTTGTAAAGATTTTTTTTCACAAATATTATACTTTAGATGCACCTATTTAAAAATAAAATATTTGTAAAAAAATATTTTAAAAAATCAATAAATACACGAGAATACGAAAAATATATTAAATTCTCATTTTTTTAAAATTTTTTTTGGTATTTGGTAAATTTTCTAAAAAAAAAATCACAAATATTATACTTTTTAACTGTATTTATGTTAGCTATATCTAAAATTTTTTTAAAAAATGCTTAGAATATTAAAAAATTCAGTGAAAATAAATAATAAAAATGGAAAATAAAAATTTTCAATTTTTTGAAAAGTGAATTTTAAAAATCCAAACCAAACAACGTTATCGTTTTTTTGTAATTTTTGTTGTAAAAAAATGATTTTTTTTTCCTAACTCGAATTTAAATTGCAAAATGACACAATATTTTTTATGATTTATTAAAAATTATTTAAAATATAGATTCTCCCCTCATATTTGAGAAATTATATCTGACTCCTTGAAATTTCCAATTGCATAACAAATAGTCTTGATGATACAGTTTGTGATGGTAGAACGGGTCGGACAGATCCACGCTCCTTAAGCCTATGTCCGAATGACCAAGCCCACCTAAAGACCTACACAAGAGTTCAACGGGGAACGGGGAGTCCCCCAGCGAACCCTCTGACGAACAAGTTAGGGAGAGAAGTGGAGTGTAGAGATGGAATAGAGATAGAAAAGCTTAACCTTCTACATGTCTTCGACGTCTGTTTATATCCTTTGGTAATCATTACGTTGTCTCTTTCGACCTATCACCTTGGCCGAAAGTCTATGCTGTACCTTACGTTGTTCAGGGTGAGGGCATGTTGTCATGACGGAGAGGGGTTATCGCAATAAATGCTGTAAGGGGGCCTCATTAATGGCGATATGCAGTGGCAATAACTTTGCAGATCTTTGTCTGCTGATGTGGCTTGCCCTTTTCTTGCCATGTGTCTTGATGCCATTGGTTGTAATTACTACATGAGGCTTCGGCAGTGCTGGGCTTCAGCATTTGAGATATGTATTGGGCCCTAAATGATGGGCTCTAATCTTTATGGGCTTACCCATATCAAGTCTCATCCATTAATTAACCGTTAAATCAAACTAACCGAGTATATTATAAACAATAATTTTTTTTTCAGAAATATCTATATTAACCTTTATTAAGTTAAACATATCATTTTCTTTCCTTTTTTTTTTTTTTTCGTTTATCTCACCATTCTTATTCTCTATTATCGCCCAACTATTAACACTACCTGACCTAACCATCAATTTGATGGTGAGTGGACCAAAATGAGGATATGATAATTTTATTTTAGTATTAAAAAATATTTGGATAATTTTTATTTATTTTTTCCCTGTTAGAGCAGTTGCAGAATTTTTTTTGACAAATGAGTACATGTAATTTCCACAACATGAGAAGTGAATCTGTATGGGGGATTTGGGTAACTGAGTTCTGTTAGCCTTGCTGTGGAGTTGCAGTAACATCATCGTACTGTTTTGGATTTTAGTATTTTTTATTTTTTAATATCATGTTCCCTATGTTTAGTTATTTGTTAGTCATTGAAGTCACCTCTGTAATTTGTTGTACTGTTATTTTGATGTATTGTTTATTTTTGTTGTGTCTATGAACCCTTTTATGCTGGTGGTCCCTCCTGTTACTCTTGTAATTGAACTGAAACGCCTTGTTGAGAGCACTGTGAGCCTAATCCTAATTCCACTTCCGTGATTCAAATAGTTCATCTTTTATTGTCTCATCAAATTAAATTTTTTTTTTTGCATAAATGATCTACTCAAAAAACACTAAAAGACGAAGAGCCCAAAGCACCAAAGTGAAACTCGAATTAGCCCCCAAATATAAAAAGTATAGTTCATCTTTTATTGTCTCATCAAATTAATTTTTTTTTTTTTTTGCATAAATGATCTACTCAAAAAACACTAAAAGACGAAGAGCCCAAAGCACCAAAGTGAAACTCGAATTAGCCCCCAAATATAAAAAGTATAGTTCATCTTTTATTGTCTCATCAAATTAATTTTTTTTTTTTTTTGCATAAATGATCTACTCAAAAAACACTAAAAGACGAAGAGCCCAAAGCACCAAAGTGAAACTCGAATTAGCCCCCAAATATAAAAAGTATAGTTCATCTTTTATTGTCTCATCAAATTAATTTTTTTTTTTTTTTGCATAAATGATCTACTCAAAAAACACTAAAAGACGAAGAGCCCAAAGCACCAAAGTGAAACTCGAATTAGCCCCCAAATATAAAAAGTATAGTTCATCTTTTATTGTCTCATCAAATTAATTTTTTTTTTTTTTTGCATAAATGATCTACTCAAAAAACACTAAAAGACGAAGAGCCCAAAGCACCAAAGTGAAACTCGAATTAGCCCCCAAATATAAAAAGTATAGTTCATCTTTTATTGTCTCATCAAATTAATTTTTTTTTTTTTTTGCATAAATGATCTACTCAAAAAACACTAAAAGACGAAGAGCCCAAAGCACCAAAGTGAAACTCGAATTAGCCCCCAAATATAAAAAGTATAGTTCATCTTTTATTGTCTCTCAAATTAATTTTTTTTTTTTTTTTGCATAAATGATCTACTCAAAAAACACTAAAAGACAAAGAGCCCAAAGCACCAAAGTGAAACTCGAATTAGCCCCCAAATATAAAAAGTAAAATGAGCGTTGAAGACAGTGTGTGAGTGCAGTTCTTTCAAAATTTTGAAGTTCAATGAAAATCCTCTCATCCTATCCTCCAAGACTTGAACCATAAAACGACATTCCAATTGATTCCATACAACATATAATAGCTAACTCTTAACACCAAATGATACTAATCCTTGAGTAAAGCTCACTCTTGAAACTCATTTATAGTCAACGTTCACAATGACCAATTCTATCAACGCTGGCCTAATGATAGCCCTTTCCCTTCTACACTTCACTTATCCATCAATATTTGATACCTCAACTAGTGTTTTAATTCAACCTATTAGTATCTTAATCCGACATGCCTGTTTTCCTCTGATACAACAAAGCATGCCAACATTAACACCTTAAAAAAAACAAAAAATAAAAATAAAAATGGAGCCCTAATGCTACAAGTCATATCACATACTCAACGAATCAAATGCATTGAAGTCAAGAAAAATGGCATCTCCATTGAAAATAATTTTCCAATTGCCAGAGATTTTATGAGCACTGATAGAAATAATTATGTTCCAAACAAATTATTCAATACAGCATCACACAAACACATCATCTTTTCCAGTTACTATCCTCTCAATATAAGCCAAACAGTCTCAATTTCTTCAAAAACTCAATATATCCCCAATGTTGTAATAACATTAATAATAGCCAATTCCATTCTAATATGCACACATATCTCCACATCCCTCTTCACAGCTTTAGGAAACAATAATTCCGAACTAATAACCCATTAATTAATATTCCACAGGATGAATCATGGAATTTGCTTTGATCACTTCTTGTCCGTCGTGACGCCAACAACAACATTGCTCACCTATAAAATTCACAATTATATCAGTCATCTGTGTCTTCTATGAAAAAACAATGTGCACGGCATCCAATCACAAAACCAAACACAAGTCTACTGCATGAGGTGGGGACCCACACATACATGAGCGAATTGTGTCTGATTATGTGAATCTTTCACAAAATAAAAGTGCCAGAGAATCTGATCATAGTTCTTCTATGTGCACAGAATCCGATCACAGAACCAGATACAAGTCTCTCACATGGGGTGGGACGATCGGATTCTGTGAATTTTTTGCAAAATTAAAGTAGCAAGTACAGGAGGGTAGGATGAAGCGGGGGGAAAAGTAGCAAGAAAATTGTACCAATTTGCCACTTTCATCGACCGACATGGGATTCTCGACAACAACGGTTTGGGTCTGAGAATGAGGCATTGCCTGCAACAGATTCAACAACGTTAAAAGGATTAAATACGGAACAAGTATAATAAGATAAACCATATAAAACTTTCACTTGGTGAACTACAAATTAACTTACTGCTGAAGTGGAGGGCATTGATGCAGGGGTAGTTGCCCCATTTGGTCTGTGCATAGGAATGGGAACCCTCACATTGCCCATCTAGAGGATAAATAAGAAAGAGAATTGAGAAATACTCAGCAGTGGGCCAAAAACAATAACAATAATAACAGCAACATTGCATAGTTGCACTACGGAATTTGAACTAAAAATACACTACCTAATCTGACAAATTTAAATTAGCATTGATTTCCAGGAATAATGATGTGGATTGTGGACCATTCAAAATGCTCAGATGCATCTTCACAGAAAATAAATGAATTCAGAACTTCTATTTGGTATCATTTTCAATTTTTATGTTCCTGTTTTTCGTTTTTCGTTTTTCGGGGAAAGGAAACAATGAAAAGTTTAAAAACATCTTGTTTTCATATCATTTTCATTTTGTGTGAAAAATAGTCGGTGTTTGGGAAGTAGGTTTTTTTAGTTGTAGGATATTATTGGAGAAAATTTTTTGTGTTTGGGAAGATGGTTGAATTTTTTTGTGGTTTGATGTAATGTTTATGAGAGAAAAAGTGAAATGATTATGGGGTTTGATGTGATATTTTGTTTGGATTTGTTTTTTTTGGTTTTGTAACCAATTTGTCTTTTAGTGAAAAAAAACCAAAAAACCAAGTGCCCAAACACCGCCATAGTTTTCCACCTTACAAGTGTTCTTTTATAAAAAGAGGTGTTTCCAGAAAATTTTTTCAATAACGGTTTCGGTAAACAAATTGAAAAACAAGCTTCTGGGTCAATTTTTTTTCTTATTTTCAAGACAAAGAAAACAAAAAACAATACCATTCGCACCCTTAGCCTACGGGTCAAATGTGATAAAAGATGTTCAACCAAAACTCTTTTAATCGTTAATCAATAACTAATAATTAGGGTAAACCACGCTGACTACCCCTGAAGTTGAAAAAAATAAGCTAAGTCACACAAGTTTTACATAATTACACCAATATCCCTTTTAATAAGACTAAAACAAAAAAAATTAATACAAGAAATATGTAAACACATGTAGGATTAAAGGTAAAATCTACATTATAGTATAAAAGGGATTACAACATCATTTTTCATTCAAATAACTAACAAATGACTAATAGGAAGGAGGATATGAGTTAATTAAAACCTAAGGGAGCACAGTATAATTATGTCAAACTAGTGGTGTTCAGTGTATTTTTTACAAACCTCAAGCGAGGTAAATGTAATTTACCCTTACTATTATTATTATTATTTATTATTATTATTATTATTGTTGTTTACCATGGTTCCATTGAAGAGAAAAGTATTGGACTTCGTAAATATTCTAGGATGAAATATTTAGAGCTTGTAAGACAATAGGGAAGGTACTACTGTTCCTTAATGTCTAATGATTGTCATACCCAAGCTTTGGGTTCAAGTCTTCATAGGAGCTTGAAAACCATCTTCATCCACTAACATCACTAACTACAAACGAAAAACCCTGAAGTGCCAATACAACAAAGTTCAACGAAATGTAAAAAAGCCTTGTCCAAATTATTTTGGCTAGCCTACAGTAAGGCTATTTTACCATTGTAGCCTGATTAGAGTCATAATTCGCATCCACCATTTTTAAATCCCCTTTCTTTTTTCTTTTTCTTTTTTTTTCCCTTTCTGATAAGGAAATAAAATTATATCAGGAGAAAGTGCTCATGCAATCCATAAAATGAGTAAGAAAAAGCAAAATTAACGTGGCGCTTGGTTGGGGAATTTGGGAGGGATTTGGAAACGGAAAGGGAAAAGGTAGGTGAAATGTAAATATATTATTTCTCTTTCTCGTTCCAAATCCCTCAACCAAACACAACGTAAAGAAAAACTAAGTTTGGAAATTGGTTGCTTTGAAGCCAAACTCAAATGGGATCAATGAAAAACATGCATAATTAAATTTTTGCTTAGTAGCCTTATTTATAATTATGTAGACCAGGTATTACTCTAGTTGGTAATTTGCAGAATTTCTGAACATGGGTTGTTGTAGGTGTCACCTATGAGTCGTCATGTGGTCAAGTGCTGTAATTGAGTTTTTTTATTTATAAGTCTTATTTAGGATTAAATTGTTTTTAGAAGTAAAAAGTCAATTGTTTCCAAATAAGAACTCAAAATCCTATTACAAAATTAGTTCTCAGTATTCTATTTAAAACCATGTAATGCTTCTAATTCAATAAAGAATATGTCAGAGAATTTTCAGAGCTTTTGAAGTCACTTTGGGATAGTGTGATGCGATTCTAACTCTAGGTGTGATGCCAAATAATATAATAATAGAGAAATCGAGAGAGGAGAGGACTATATCAAATAATAAATGATGGTATGATCTAGCAACGTTAAATTAAACTATTAAGCAGATTTCCTTATACTCACATTAACATTTGTAATGTAGTGGCAAATGGCACATTTGACGGATGGAGCTCCATAAGGGTACATCAACGTTGTACGGCAATTTCCACAGTTAACATGAGCAAGTTGGTTAGACGCTTTTGCATACACAATTATAAACCAAAAATTAGCCAGAAATAGTCAGTCAAAGAACGAAAATCTAGAGAAAAAAATATGATGCAGCATGATTAGAAAGTTGGAAACTAGTAGTACAATCCAAGTGTCCAATCTATGAACAAAAAGGTACAAAGGCACATGCTGGTTGTCTAGCATAAGTAACAATTGGACCAAAACAAAAACAAAAAGAATTCTACATATTTACTTCACCTGAATTCCTACAGGCTTTTTTTGGTTTGCAAGTAAGGCAAGTGTCAAGTATTTTAGTAAAAAAGAGTGGGCCCGTACCATGTAAAAAATACTTCACAGATATAATTGTCACTAGCCACTACTCCGATTTTAGGGCTCAATTTCCCATACTATCATGCAGGACAAAAATAGAAAGCCATGGATCTTTCCAGATCCTTGCACATAAGCTCTGAAAGTTACCATATGGACTTCTCCAAAAGAAAACAAAACAAGGAAATAAAAAATAAATAAATAAGAGGTTAATAAAATCTGTTCTTCAAAAAATGCCTGCGGTTTTCTGACTTTGGTGGTATCCAATAACTTCAAGACGAAAAATTCCTTTCCATGAGTTGTGTAGACTAATACACAGATCATAAACTTGCCACGGCAGAGAACCACAATAGACCAGTTCCTATTTATAGAATAACTAAATTAATAATTTTGCGTCTTATGTAGGCAACGGTGTCAGAGGATGGATCTGAAAGGGTTCCTGATAATTCAAACATCACCATTCATATCTAGTATATCTAAATAGGTCTTGTGACTGTTCATGGAAATGACACAAAGAAAGAAAAGTCATCAAAAAAAAGGAGGAAGAAGAAGAAGAAAAGGATGTATTGAACTGTCATTTCCCATTTTTCCTTGAACTACGCTATTAAAAAAAATGTAGGAGGACAAAATTTAATGTCCATTGAGGTAATGAGGAATATTCCCATAAAGAGAGTTTGGTTGAGGCCTGGGGCTGCAGGGGGAGCAAACATCAGAAATGAGATTACTTAACCCGAGCATTGAAATTACAATATATAGAGGGGACTCATCTCTACATGCAGATAAGAGTCACCAAACAGTTGTACCTGGTGCAAGGTTCACTGTTTGACAGCAGGAGCATCTCACATTTGTAGCCCCACGTGTATACATAAGCCATGTACGGCAACCTCCACATATGAGCTGAGACATCTCCATTCCTGCATGTTTTGCAGTAGCTTAGATGATAAAGCCAGAAAACTCAGTATCTAATTCCTAGAAAGTGTCTAATCTAATCTATAAAATGATTCCAATGCTCGCAGCCCTCACGAAGACTTAGAATTATGAATCTAAAATGTGAAATGTGTCCATGTGATGCCTGCCCTCAAGTAGAAATTAATAGAAAATGTGTCCCTTTTTTTTCCCTCTCAGATTCACTCAATTTACAAGACCCAAATGAAACCATGTCTATATCAAACTGCCTATGTTGCATTTGGGGACAAGCTTTAACTCAGATATGTACAATACAGCATCCTTAGTCTTGTTCAACAGAGCAATCTATATATAGAAAGTCAAGATGTAAGATAACACTTCCCAGCGTGTGCACCCAGCAGTCCATATATAATTCCAGTATCAACAGTCTGTCTGATTAACAATTATTTTTGGGTGGAGGGGTCACATTGATCAAATACGAAAAAAGGCTTGTCAATGAGCATGAAATGGGAATGAAAGTGAGCATGCTAATCCGCCACCAAGGCAAGTATGCAAGATGAGATGGGAAATGAAAGTGGGAGAGGCAACACATTACAACCTATGAAGCACTGGGTACTATGAAAATATTGCCATACAAGTATCACGTACTTACCCAGTACAAGTAAGCGTATCAGTATGGCTGCACATCTACCAGATTGACGAAAGACTTTGGGTACAGGACAGGTATGGCTCGGGTAGGGGATTGGCACTGCTCAAGTACTTTTGTGGATACAATGGGGCATAAAAGTATTTTTTTTTTAAATATAGGGTTACTAGAATAATTATACTGTGCTTATCTTTGTAATTATTAAAAATGTAAACAAATAATTGGGATTCTTTTTCTGACCATTACAAAAATACTTCAATAATTTTTTGCATTTGGTTTTTTAATTATTATATATTATGTACTACTACAAATTATAAAAATATATATATATTTTTTTATGGACATAAACCATATCCTACTTTTTTTAATTTGGCCATGTTAGTGCAACCACACCCATGCTTCCTAGGTTACAAACAAATAAATCCATTGATGACTATAAATCCAGAAAGGTTTATGCCACCACAAAAATGAAATGCAACAAGATATATTAAAGAACAACTCAAAACATTGTTTTGACTAGTGCAGAACCATCAGTTTTGAGAGTAGATTCCCCTCGTTTGACGACGCTTCATTTTAGCCTAAAAGTCAAAAAGTCGCTTAAAAAATCAAAAAACCAACAAACTATACAAAAAAGTCAAAAATTCTCTTCTCTCTACGTTTTACACGTGTTTTCGTAAAAAGCTAAAAAGTCATCCCAAACATATTAGTTTTTTTTACCTCATATTTTTGTCAAAAAGCCAAAAAATTACTAAAATAGCATGTTTCCCCAAAAGTGGCCTTCCGATAAGTCTTAATCAGGAACCATATGCAAAGGTTTTCCTTTTCTTATCAAGCCATACTCTGATCTGATGGATGCATATCAAGGCCAAATCAACAAAAAATGGTATTCGTACGGCAGAAGTCATGACCAAAAGTAAATAGAGAGAAACTAATTATAAATCCCACATGATCAAACCCATAAAGCGATGATAAGTTCTTCCCCAACCTCTTGTTCTTAGTGTACTCCTTATAGGCTATTTCTCAAAGAATTTAATTTCAGCATGTCAATCTCCATTTCTTTATGGGGAAGAAAAAAATATACAATTGTAGTTAACATAGATCAGTGTTTTTTAAGGCGAAAAGCGAACCGAGGCGACAAGGTCACCTAACGCCTAAGCGCGAGGCGACGAGGCGAGGCGAGGGCTTCATCGAAGCGAGGCGACCAGAAATGATATTTTTTTAAAATAAATGATATAGACAAAAATATAAATATTTTCAAGAACCAGAAAATTGAATTAAAATAATTAATTGAATAACCAGGAAATTAAAATAACTAGGAAATTAATTGAATTAAATTAATTGAATTAAAATAAACAAATTAATTGAATTAATTGAATTAAACAAATTAATTGAATTAAAATAATTAATTGAATAATCAGGAAATTAATTGAATTAAATTAATTAAATTAAAATAAACAAATTAATTGAATTAAACAAATTAATTGAATTAATTGAATTAAAATAATTAATTGAATAACAGGAAATTAAAATAATCAGGAAATTAATTGAATTAATTGAAATTTTAACACAGAAGAAAAAAAATAATTGAATTAATTGAAAAACAATTAATTTCAAAATAATTGAATTAATTTTAAAAATTAATTTTTGCGAATTAAAAATTAATTTTTAAAAAAAATGGATTAATTTGAAGTCGAACAGTGTTCGACAGTGCTCTTCTTCTTCAAGTCGAAGTCGAACAAAGAACAGATGAAGTCGAACAGGTCCGACAGTGAACAAAGGAGAAAGGAAGAAGAAGAAGAAAGGAAGAAGAAGGAAGAAGCAGACCCAGGCGATCGACTTTGGCAGAAGAAGACCAGATGCTGCGATTCGATTTCGGCAGACGATGCACTCCACCAAGTCGATCTAGGGTTTGGCTTCTTATTTCGTAATCAACTTTGTCGATCAAGGGCCCAGATGATTCGAACGAAGTCGATCAAGGGCCCAGATGTTTCGCACTTAAATCAGGCAGAAATACGATGAAGCGTCGCTTCTTTCCGCCTCACGCTTCATCGCCTAAGCCTCGCTTCAGGCGCTTCTGAGTCGCCTCACCATTTCGCCTCGCCTCAACACGCATGAAGCGCTGAAGGCTCGCCTCGCCTCGCTTAGCGCTTAGGCGAGCGCTTAGGCGAGCCTCTGATAACACTGACATAGATGAAAAATTTTGACATCTCCATATGTTTAAATCGTTTCTTTTTTCAACGTAAACAATTTTGTTTCAAGAAGCACAAATACACATACAAACATGGACACAAGACGTGGATAAAACACGATACAGACATGCCACCAATTTTCAAAAAATCATAACACAACACGACATTGACATGGCAACAAAATAAATATATAAGTTTATGTATATACATGAAAATAATACAAAATTTATTAATTTTTTACATTATAAACAAATTTTTATTTTACTATATCAAAAGATTAAAGAAATCTGTTTCCCCATTCTATATGTTGGAGAGAAAAAAAAAGTGTGAAGATTCATAATATTTATTATAGAAAGCTCTATTCATAAACAAACTGAAAATTTTAGGCTTTAGATTCCTGAAATTGCAAAAATTAAAAGATGAGGGATTAATAGTTTTGCATCCACATTATTTTGATCTAAATCATTAGCATCAAAAAGTTATTTTCTTCAAACATGTGATGTGTCTCATGTATGTCTAAGTGATGGAAATTTATCAAAAGTGTGTCCAATTCTGAAAAATAGAAAATAATAATGGGACACATTTGGACATATCTGCAACAAGTGTTTGTGTTCGAAGCAAAAGGAAAACACAACACCTTAGAAGCCCATGCTTCTTGGAATATAAGCATGTTAACCTCAATTTTTAATCCATGTTCTGTTGTAGTCCAACAGGAATATAAATGTTTCCAGTGATTGCATGGAAATTACACAATATTTTGATCCTTGGTTGAAAAACCATTGAAATTTTAGCTTTCCTTTTCCTTGATACCTAAGACTCATTTATACATAGAAGGATGATGGTGTAAGAGGGGTGCTTCAAGTGTATCTTTTCTTTCCAGTTTATCCTGTGATGAAATTAAAATGAAAACATTACAAGGTGGGACAAGATCAGCCAGGTGTTACAGTTCAAAATGTTAAGCAATTAAGAAACAATATGTTGACAAATTGAGTGCGGATGGATGTGTGGTACGGATGTGTGGTAAAATGAGAAAAGACAAAATCAACGATGAATAAATTTGTGACATAGAAGTACCATCTATTGGCACGGTTTTTAGAATAGTCCTATTCAAATTGCGATTTATTATGATTCATTGCAATTCAGTTATGTTTTTGTTTTTGTTAGCATAATACATGAAACAATCTCTTTTTTGTCTCTCTATCAAGAAATAAAAAAGAAATCAATTAATTATATTGATATATGTGATTTTGCATGGTTAAACATATATACAATTTAGTCATATTGATATCTACTTCATTTTAAACACTATGTATATAAATATATAAAATTATATAATAAATTAAATAAAGTGAATCTTACGATTCACTATTTCAAAAGCAACAATTTATTATTCGATTTGCCATTTGATAACAATGCCTATTGAAGACAAAATGAAAGAAAATTTTACTAAGGTGATTTGGCTCTGGGAATGAAGACCAATAAGTACACCAAGGTAGAGTGAAAGTATCAACTGTCCACATCCATAAGTAGTAAATGGTTGGTCATTAGGTTAACTAGCCAGCATTATACATTGTTTGACAGTAGACACCTGCACAACTAGTTGCATTTCCATGCAAGTCATCAATTTTTCCCCCCAATATTCACTACCAAGAATTCACACAAAAACAACAGAAAGGAAAGGACCTTGTGAGAAGTGTTAATTAATAAATGCACATGTTGATGCTCTCAGATACTAAATCAGGTTAAAGTAAAAAGTGATAGAAGATACCAGGAGGCGGGACTGAGGTTATTGCATTACATAATGCACAGCAGACATTTGATGCTCCTCTAGGGTAAAGAAGAATGCTCCTACAACCACTGCACACTATCTGGCTCTGCATATCTGTGATGCCAAAGTTTCAAAAGTCACCACGACACCCGGTAATCATAATGGAAATCTTACAAACCCCCACAAAAGAAATTACTGAGCATTTTTTAAAAGTAAGCCCAAGATAGTGGTGCTTCATTTAATATATCGAAATTAATCAATTTCTATAAAAGTCATAGCAGTACCAGACTACAATTTTTTTATGTCAAATTTTTATAGGAGTTGAGAAAGTAGAAGAAGATATGAAGAAAGATTTATGCACCACACTTCAACCAAAAGAGAATATGGCACAACTCTTTGCCAAGAGCTCTTCATCTAATTAACTTTAGCCAATTGAGTTTACAACAAATAAAATTAAAATAAAAAATAATAAATAAAAAATAATAATAAATAATAATAATAATAAAGAAAGAAAGAAAGAAAAGAAGAAGAAGAAGACGAGGATAACAAGTAAATGAAATGCACTTTGTCTCTCACTAATGAATATTCGGACTGTGCATTAAGAACCATTACCAGAACAACAAGAACATGATAATGCAAGAGCCACTGTAAAAGCATAAAGCATGTTTAAATATTGATTAAGGTGTATTAACAAAAAGCACAGATTGGACCAAGTCTTTGATCTAGATTACATGAGTGGGCCCGAGTCTATGTCCTGAAATATTCCATCATGACTGGATAAGAGTTCTACAACTTTACAATTTCTAGGAAAGCCCAGCCGGTTGTGCATATTTTGGAGTACCTTTAACTAAGGCTGCAAATCAACTGAACAAATGCTTTTGCTCAGCTCATAAGTTGGTTTGTTCACTCAGCAGACAACCCAAACTTGAGAACTATCTTTAAGCTGGCTTCATTAATAACATGTGTCCAATTTTATTATTTTATTATATATACATACGATTGGTTAACATCATTTTCTATAGTTTGTACTGAATCTTAACCATTCTCGATTCAATTTGATTTACGATTCACAAAATTAGAATTTCAATTCATGATGCAATTTTCAATTTCACAACTATGTTTGTGAACAATAATACATGCTGAAGAAGTTTAGTTGATGTACTAACTCAATATTATTCATCTAGGTGGAAAAATCTGAAGCACTACTCATAACAAGTGAACCAATAAGAAGTCCCTCAAACATAAGAATATAAAACAGGAACCAGCAACAAAATCTACAACAAAAACAAAATAAATAAATAAAATTTATAATACGGATCGTAAAAACCATATACAATTCACAAACAAAACCCATATCCCACAACCCAAATCGAACCAAATTTGAGAAAAATCAAAGCAATTGAGAAGAAAGAGAAAAGCGATTACCAAGAGATGAGGCTCCTCAAAACTTCGAGTCAAAGTGACCAATCCGATGTGAAATTGAAATATGCCCTAGACGGAAATGATTAGGGGAGAGAGAGTCAGAATTGGGAGATTTGGGAACGATGATCGATCGAGGTTTGTCTGCGAAAATTGGATTTTCCAAAGAGGGGAATTAGATTTTCCGATTGGGAAACGGAAATGGATTTGGAATTGGAATTGGATTTGGATTAGGATTAGGGTTAGGATTATTATATATATATATATATATATATATTCTTCTCGATGAAGATTTCAAGTTCTTCCCTTCAGCGAGATGATCGTGTTTGGGGAAGAAGAAAGAATATCTAGAATCTGTCGATGAGAAGAATATATTATTAAAATTGGAAAACTTTTTTTCTATTTATGTTTCAATTTTTGTTGTTCTTGTTGCCAAGTATAATAGGAGCTTGGTCAAGTCTATATTTTGTTTTTTTTTTAGCCGAAAAGGTCAAGCCGAAAAGGTCAAGTGGCTGTATTTAGGTTGGGAATAAATTATTTTAATAAGTTTTTAGTTTTTTAAGTTAAACTATGAAGTAAAAAAAATTAATATATTTAGGATAATTTTTTAATTTTTTATAAAAAGATTTGTAAAAAGTAGACAAAAAGTAGAATTTTTGACAAGATTTTAAACTTTTTTAATGATTTTTTAACTTTTAAACTAAAAAATAATGTTACCAAACGAGACCTTATTAATTCATTTCGAAGATAAAATAAAATATAAATAAAGAGTACATTATAATTTGGATTCTGCTAAAGATAATGTTAAAAAAATAAATTTTAATACATATTTCATATATTTTTGTTCATTTATATATATATATATATTAGGATTTTTTTTAAATTTATGATATTAAGGTTTTATAAGACAAAAGACATATAATATTTTCATAATAGTTAAGATCCTTCAATATTTTTACAGAGAAAATTCGATTTACAAAAATTTTATCTGACTCAAAGAAATTTTATCTCGACTGAAAAAAAAATTAATTTTCTATCATACTGGAGAAATTTTAATTTTTTTTGAAAAATTAAATAAATTTCTTTATGAAAATTTAAATTTTTCTGAATCAAATTTTCTCTGTGAAAATGTTAAGGACCTTATCTAATAAAAAAAATTATCTTAAATCTCTCCTGTTATACAAAGTTAAATAGTGATGTTTCACTAATTTTTCTTTTTTTTTTACATGCATATCACTATTAGGGGATTATATGGATTAATCATTGTCCTAGTTAATAGTTAATATTTTTTTTTTAATTATATTGTTTGACCATCTCTTAAAATGTTATTTTTTTGCTAAATAAGTAAAAACTAAATATTATTTTTCGTGTAGAGAATGTCGTTAGAATACTACAAACCATTTTATTTCTAACAGCTTAACCTTTTACAAGAATCTATCTATACATATATATATATATATATATAACATATCGCTCAACAAATTTAGACTCTTCACTAATTTATCCTAAGAAAATTATTCGTAGGTCCTGTTTGAAATATATATATATATATTATTTAATCTAACAATTTTTTGAGTGGATATAAAAATTCTATACCTTTTTTTCTCTCACTCTCTCCGCGTTTTTTTTCTTATACTTTACGTTTTCCTTTCTCTTTTTTTTTTTTACGTTTTCCTCTCCTTCTCTTTGTCATGTCCAACGACCGAAGATCACACCTTCCTTATTCTCTTTCTCTTTCTAATACTATATAGTCACCAGTGATCGACGACCATCATTGATTGGAGTTCATCGACAACCATCGACATCAACTCGTTACTTCATCATCACCGACAGCGAAGAAGATGAGTAAATCTACTCAAAACTGATGTAGATCTGCTCAGATCTTGTAGATCTGAGTAGATCTACATGAGATTCCACTAGATCTAAACCACAAATAGTTGTCGCAGTACAATATTCTTTCTATATCTATTCTTTCCATTTATTTCTCAATTTTTCTACCTTTTTTTCTGTTACACACGCTTATTTTTCTGTTTTAATGCAGAAAAATTTCAAGTTCTGAATAAGTTGTTTTTAAGTTTTAGTTACAGGCGGCGAAAACTGTAAAATTTTAAAGTTTCAACTTTTTTTGATACTAAAATGAATCATGCTCTAAAATTACAAAATTTTACAGTTTTATAATATTCTTTAGAACTATGAAATTTTTCAGTTTTATTACATGTTTTCCAGCTTAATAGAATAATGTTTTGAAAGTGTAACATTTTATAATTTCAAAGCTTACTTTTCAGTTTGATCAATATTACAAATTATTTGCTTAGTTGTTTGTTGTTGTTATGTTAACTATAATTTCTTCATTTATTCTTTTTTTTTTCCCGGCAATATTCTGAATATTTTGATGAGTCTCCGATGATGTTCCTGACAATTTCCAATGACGTTCAGAACACTCCGGTGAACTTCCGGTGATGCTCCGACGACTTTCCGGTAATGTTGAATGTTCTGGCAAGTCTTCGGTGAGTCTGATAGAAGTTGTTGAATGTAGCAACAGCATTTTTAAAGTGATACAAATAATTTTTTTAAAAAAAGAGTTTTTGGTAACAATTAAAAATATATAGGACTAATTGGTACAAGTATTTTGTTTTGAAATTAGATAAATTTTAAATTTTGTGTATGAGACTTATTGATAAGTGCCCTTAATCCTGTTATAAAGCCAAACAACACACTTGGTATAGATGAAACCTAACTTCTCTATAACAGTTTCTTACCTTAAAAGAACTAACTGCTTTAATTAATAATTACTGATTTAAATGTTTACACGCTTTGTATATGCCTGCCTTCTAGTTTATCCCCACAAAACAAAAGTTTAAAATAGTCCACTAAATTTTTTTCATAATAAAAAAGCAAATTTTAACAAAAGAATTTTTTTTTAAGATTCCTGATATTAAGATTTTATAGTATAAAGGACACTAAATATTTTTATAATGTCAAACGTCCCTCAATATCGATCTAGAAATTTTCTGAATCGAATTTTCTCTGCTCAAATTTTCTCTGGACTTCAGAGAGAAATTCTGGTTCACAAAGAATTTCTCTGGACTATAAATTTGAATTGTTAAGAACTTCTCTAAACTATAAATCTGTAGTTTATTACAGGGTGCATTCACAAGGTTTCATTATTATTCAGAAGCAAAAAAGAAACAATAATTACAAGCAAACCAGAGAATTTGGGAAAGATGAGGAATGAAGTTGGAAGAAATTTTCTTTGGTTGCCTCTTTAGATGTTGAAGAAACTTCAGGAGCTTTATTCACCACAGGCTTGGGTTGTATTAGGACCTCTGGTTCTTGATCATGCTCTTCATCTGCCTCTTCATCACCTTCATCAAGAATGTCTTCTTCACTTTTACTTTCTTGTAATTCAACATCATATTTGAGTGATAGTTTTCCAAGACTCGTCATTTTTTTAACCAGCTATCAATATAATGCCACAAGTGAAAAACATATAAATCCTGAACTGCTCAAAACCAGGAAAACTTCACTCAACTCAACGAGTCTATGTCCCAAATACTAAGAGTCGCTACCTGGATTCATCTCTTCCAAACCAGGAAAATATTAAAAGATAACAAAACAAAAGAGAAAGGAGTTATTAATCAAGAAGTAAAAGTCATAATTGATATATGTATATGTATTTATATTACAGGGTAAATCTGCATCAGATACAAATTCTAAAATTTTACATAAAAAGCTTGTTTCAATCAAGTATCACAATATTAATTGTCAAATGGTCTTCAATTGATAGCATGAATGCAAACAGAAATTCCAACCCATCTTCATTCTTGGACCTTGCTTCTTAATATTGTGAAAACAAGTTTCAACTTTTATGACTACATCTCCTATGAATTGAGATAGAACCAACCCAAGCCAATGATTCTATCTCAACAAGCAATCATTATTCTACAGAAAATACGAACCATTGTCAAATATGGTGCAACCCTCAAATGTTATGGCTAGAAAGTCGTTCATAAAGAAATTATTGTCTTGTCAAAACTAAAGTTTCATTTGTCTCAATGGAAAATAACAAATTAAAAGTCCATCCTCTGAAAATTCGATCCAAAGAAAATTGCCAAATCAAGAGAAAATTCAAGGGTAATCTAGAGAAAATGCCAAATCCATAGAAAATTCAAAGATAATCCAAAGAAAATTGTAAAATTCAAAGAAAACTTGATCCAAAGAAAATTGCCAAAACCAGAGAAAATTGCCAAATCCAAAGAAAAGTAGCCAAATCCAGAAAAATTCTGGCAATCCAAAGAAATTCAACATCGTCAATACAAAATTTCTCTGGCTTGTAGGAAACATTGTATTCAACACTGTCAACACAAACAATATATGCATACATATATATATATATATATATTTATATTTATCAACAATTAGGAGAAAGAACTAACTTTTTTTTCTTTTGAACTTGAAGACGTTGTAGAACCTGAGGACGTTGCTTCCGGTGTTGCCGCTGCCGAATCCAGCGGAGGAGGAGGAGCCAAGGCATCGGCAGCGACGACGCATACCGGCGGTGGCCAGGGCTGAGTTGTGGGGAGCCATTTTAGTAAGGGGGCCGGGATGAGAGGTGGAGGAAGAGGATGATTGGGACTGCGATATGCCCCTTGCCATTGTTGAAACAGTGCCAAGATTTCGAAACAAGAGTGATGAAAAAAATAGAAGAAAGAAAGAAAGAGTCGGAGACTTTAGACAGAGAAAGAGACGTAGAGATCGGTGAGTTGATTGGAGAGAGTCAAATTTCTCTGTAATATATGGATGTGAGATTAAGGGACCTTAGACATCATAAAATAATATTGTGGACCTCTTTCATTATTAAAAATGAAAGAGGGACCTTATACTAATTTTCTCTTTTAACAATTGATAAACACATAAGTTTTTAAAATTTGAATTTTTTCTTTTAAAAAACATCTATAATTTTTTTTTAAAATAATGATCAAATCCAACCTTAATGATGAAAATTTGTTGACTTTGGCTTTAATTATGAATTTTTCCTTGTATTAGTTGGTTAAAATAAAGAGAAATTTTACATATTCAATTTAGCCCCAAAAATCATTATGTAATGCACTAGTCTCCCGATATAGAATCGACAAGCTTCATGTTTACCTCTCATTGACATTTAAAAGTAAACACGACTCTTTTGTGATTTGTCTAATTTTCATATGATAAAATGGGTCCTAGATTTTTAGTGATCTCTATTAATTTCACAAAAGTTCAAGAAGTGTAACAAACTAGAAAAATTACAAATCAGTATAAAGAAATCAAAGTAATTACAAAATATAGAGGTCCAAGTAAATCTGTGTTCTTCCATATTTTTACAATTATTTCTTCTAATAAATATGGGGATGAGAGATGTTGTTGTGCCTTATGACACAGTAGCCCTACTGTGAGGGCTTCTAGAAGTATTTACCGAGTATATTTTGAGATCTAAACCGTTCATATTCTAAAATTTGTCGAATATATCATTCATATAAAAAATCAAGTTAATTGAACATCTATAACCCCATGATCAAATCCTAATTGTTTTTAAAAAATTATTGAAATCATATTAACCGTTTATTTTTTAAAAAACAAATGTGCTGTTATTATGAAGTTACAAATGTCTAATTTATTTAATTTTTTATATGAATGATCTACTCAATAAATCTTACAATATTAGTGGTTCAAATTATCGAAAAAGACTTGAGACACACCCTCAATGAGCCTCAGAACAGCCTGCTGTCCCAATTCCATAAAAATATGAGCACAAAAACAACAAAATTAATAAATGATGCGGGGGGGTGGTTGTTTACCTCTGACTAATGTTTAATGAATTGTTTTGGACTAAAAAGCCATTTCTTATATCCATATAAAAAATAAACATATTTTTTTTGGGGGGGGAGGGATGTGTTCCAGGTTTTAGGCATTAAACCCAAAATTACAAGTCATTTTGATGAGTATGCATTGTTTCTAACCCTTAATTACCATTGAAAAAAAATAAAAATTATTACCCTAATTTCAAACCATGCAGCAATTGCTGGGTATAATGGTAACCTTGTCCGTTTATTCATTACGGGTACCCATTTCTTAAAATTAAAAAAACAAAAACAAACAAAAAAAAAAATAAAAAAAGAATAATGATAGGTATCATGAAAATGATCATAAAAGATTCTCCACCGTTAGATTATACATAAAAAAAACACCACACCAATCAAAGGATTGAAACTCTTGATGAAGCATTTCATAATATTTTTTTATGATCCCTAGTATTATTCTAAAAACCCACAAACGTCATAATTGACAATAGTATATAGTAACTGCAACAGGAGAAAAAAAAATTATATGACATTCTAGTCTTTAAGAGCACACATTGTTTTGCAGCAAAGAGACAAGTTATACAAGATTACGGGGATAATTTAAATTCTGAGGTATGGCTATCCAATTCAGATACGTCGAAGAGAGGCCAGCCTCTTTTCAAGATCCTCAACATCTGTACTTTCCGAGCTGCATATTCATCAAAAAAATATTTTTATAATAAGTTGAAATATGTTCAAAATTTGAAATCAAGATCAATAGAACTTTTCTATATATTTTTTTTTGTTAACCACCACCAGGGTAAATAATTTAACAAATCATTCTTGTCCTCAACAACCTTCTATCCAAATAATTTAGTACAACTTAAACATAAAATAAGATTAGTTACCGCGTCTACTCGATCATGGCAATTTCTTTAGAAGAACCACATGAAAGGGTTTTTCTGCAGCCATGAACTCCAATTTGTCTTCAAAGAATAGTCATCAACACAGGATGACGAATTTTCTCAAACATGTGTTCGTACATAAATATTATGGGAAAAGCAGAACAAAATCAGCTATAACATGTTTGTGGTGTGAAGCAACTAATCACTTGCCACTCTCTTGCTGGAAGCATGAAATATAAACTCCAGTGACAAAATATTTCTATGTTTCCAGGATTGCAATTGACACTGACTAATTGAGACACTAAAAAAATTCTATGTTTTGAGGATTGCAATTTCCTTTCCACATTGCAATTGACACTGACCAATTAAGACAATCTGAAAAACTTCTATATTTTCCAGGATTGCAATTTCCTTTCCATGTTGCAATTGACACCGCCCATTGATGGCTTGCAACCAACAACCATCATATGTTATCTTTGTCGATACTATCTATTGTGATTGAGGCACTACAAATTAAGAACACAAATGGAAACCAACAAGGGCTCTAAGGGTCCGTTTGGATAGATGTGGATTTGAAATGCATGGATTTGACATTAATTGTTGAAGGAGAATAACTCAAGCTTAGGTTTTGATAGTTTGCCTATGGATTCAATTTAAGCTTTATCATGATGGATTTGAAATCTATAAAATATGCAGCTTGGTTTTTGAAAATGTCTTACATTTGGTTGAAATGGTTGAGTTTAATTTTAGGTTTGATCCAACAATGTAGATAGTATAGTTTATTGAGTTTAATTTTAGGTTTGAAATAAAAAAATCCCGCTCAAAAGTGTCAATTTTAGCTCCTCCAAAATCTAGCCAGCTACTCCCAAATCTCGCCAAACTGAAATTTCTGCAACAATTCTCTCTCGTCTAACCCAAATCTCTATCGCCTTTGTTCCAAAACAACTTTTTAAACCTCAACCTAAAATTCTTGAATTTGTACATTTTAAAATGATTAAAAAAATGTCATACTCAATTTATATATTGGACCATGTTTCATTTATTCAAAAGAAAAAAAAATAAACAAGCAATCAGATCAGTGTTAGCTTTTATAAATAAAAAAAGAAAATTACAAAATGTAATAACAAATAACCAACCAGATAAATATTGAAATTTAAAATTGTTAACACTACTACCCATGATTTATGATTTTTCAAAGGTATTGTCATTTATCTATATCTATAAAATAGGAAAATTCCTTATCTATCTTTATCTATTTGCTCTATTTATAACTAATTTTTCTTTATTTGGAAACAATTTTATTTATTAGATGCAATTATTCTTTTTCATTATTTGCAATCAAGAATTGTAAAACTCTCATTCTTCCCATTGATGCTGGCCAAATATTGAATCCGATCATCCTCTAACTTCTAACCATCATCAATATTAATTCACCATTAATCATAGAGTACGTAAACCTAATGTAAAGTAAAACTTGAGTTGGTTTTATTGAATCCGATTAGGGACATACCACCAGTCCAATTCAGGTGCATGTTTGAATTTTGTGAATTTTTTATTAGTTTTATTTTATAATTATTATTTTCTTTTTGCTAGCATCGGTTTTAAGATTCTTAATCCTTTACATATATTTTTACATATATTTTTATATATATCTATTTTAACAAAAACAGAAAGTATATGAATCGATAGATAAGAAAGAAAGATAGAAAATGGAAGAATGATAGGTGGGGCAAATGATACATGACAATCTCTTTCTATTTTGGTAGATTTTTTTGACTATCTTTTTTTTTCTAAAATTATATATTTTTATGCGTCATGTTTCAAAAAGGTGCATAGAATAAGAGTCATGTTTTTCCCTTAACTTCTATTGTTGAAAAGATGAGCTACCTTGGTGTGAATATGAGACAATTCCCTTTCATGATACATGCGCTAGACGATTTACAAAGATAATTGAACTTTGTTTTGATTATTGATTTTAAATAATTGTTATAGAAAATGATATAGCACTTTATCCCCTATTATTATGGGTCTTATTATCCTCTGATGTAAGGAATTAGAATTCTGATTTCTCATCAATAGTTTAGAATTTTATGGGTAGCATTGTACCCCTATTCTTATGGGTCTTAGCCTCTCATGTAAGGAATTAGAATTCTGATTTTTTTCAATAGTTTAAAATTTTATTCTATGAAGCACGGACATGGACATGTGGACATGCAAATTTTTAAAAATAGGAAACACGACACGTTGGGGACACGCTCAATATATAATTTTATTTATTTATTATATGTAAAATTAAAAAAAATATATTTATGTATTTATATTTATTTATTATATGTAAAATTAAAATATATATATTATTTTTATTTATATTATTTATTATTTATTTACAAAAAAGGTAAAAAAGAAGATTAAAAGAGACGGTAAGGAAGAGAGAGAGAGAGAGAGAGAGAGTCAAACAAAAAATGGGAGAGAGCAAACAAGAGAGATGAACACAGAGAGAGGCGACAAATAGAGATGAACAGAGAGAGAGAGAGGAGACGAAGATGAACAGAGACGAACAAAGAGAGAGACGAGACAAACAGAGAGACACGAAAAACATTCCTTGATCAGAGACGAAGACAAACAGAGCTAGCCTCGATCTAGGGCTTCAACAGGTTCTTCCCCTTTCTCTTTCTCTTTCTCTATCCTCAACGGGTTAGGGTTTCCCTATCTTGGTTAGGGTTTCCCTCTCCTGCTCATTAACATTGCACTAAAGCATTGCACTACAAAATAAAAATAAAAAAAAAAAAAAAAAAACATGGCACGTAAGGTCGAGTGTTGGACACGTGTCCACCGCGTGTCCGACACCCATATACTGCCTCCGGAGAGGTATCCGTGCTTCATAGATTTTATTTCATTGAGAGTGCCTTTAAGCACAGGCCATTCTCTAGTATATAAATATATATAAATTTAAACATGCACCTGAATTCGACTGGTTGTATGTTTCATTCTTCATTAAGTTTGCATACTCCATGACTAACAATGACGTTATTACTGGCTGGTCATACCTATGTCTACTTTCAGCAATGGCTGGGAAGGGGTGGCGCTAGTCATAGAAGGCTTTAGGCTGAGCGATGAAAGGGTATCTCAACCTAGTGGTTCGAAGAAAGCGGCGTCCACTTCTGGGTCAACATTATCAGTCGCCAACCGTGTCCGACACCCATACACTGCCTCCGGAGAGGTGTAGGTGTTCGTGCTGCATAGCTTTTATTTCATTGAGAGTGCCTTTAAACATAGGCCATTCTCTAGTATATAAATATATATAAATTTAAACAGGCACCTGAATTCGACTGGTTGTTATGTTGTCCCTAATCGGATTCAATAAACCAACTCAAGTTTCATTCGTCATTAAGTTCGTGTACTCCATGACTAACAATGACGTTATTACTATGTCTACCTATGACTGGTCATACCTATGTCTACTTTCGGCAATGGCTAGGAAGGGGCGACGCTGGTCATAGAAGGCTTTGGGCTGAGCGATGAAAGGGTATCGCAACCTGGTGGTTCGAAGAAAGTGGTGTCCACTTCTGGGTCAACATTATTAGCCGCCAACCATAGTGAGTCGAAAGGGGTCATCCACACTAGGAAAGGGGTCATCCACACTAGGATGGAGGTTGACTAGTTCCGAATGTTGGACAGATTGTTGATGGGCTAGTTCTAAATGTTGGACAGATCGTTGGCAAGTAATGAATGGGTGGCAATGGCTTGAGTTTTGCGGCCATCTCGGACTGGGTTAGCCACTGGTGGCAGCAATCAGGGAAGGTGGAGGTGCGACCGTTGGGAGACAAGGCTTTCCTGTTTGTTTTGCCAACCAGAAGTAAGGCTGAGGCATTGATGAGACTGCGGTGGACAGTGGATGGGCGTGATTTATTACTGGAATGGTGGTCACCCATTAGCCCTATTTACTTCAGGAAAGATCTTGAGGCCTGAGAAGAGTGTCTGGATTTGGGTGGTGGGTGGGTTTGCCTATTTCATCTCTGTGGGGAAGAGAGGTGTACCGTGCTATCGGCAATCGGTGTGGCGGCTTTGTGGAGGCGAATGAGTCATCGGTGGATCTGGGCTCTATCAGGCTACGCGTGAGATGTTCGGAGAATACACCGGTGCGAGTCTCCCTCCAATGGGGTATGTGGCAATTCTCGTTGCCAGTATGGGTAAAGGCAGATCCAATGGTGAAGCTAAGATTGCCGAAGGTCGAGAAGGATGGGGAGCCAGTCCATACAAGGAAATAAGGAATTTGGTGCAATCAGAGCATAGATTTCTGTGAAGATTTGGAGGGAATGAATATATGCGGAGGGGGGGACCCAACATTTGGGGTTTGATGTGGGCTAGACAAATGGGCCTGGGAAAGGCCCAAGAAGCTAGTAAAGAAGATATGGGCCAACAAAGGTGGGCATTGACAAAAAATAAGGAGAATCAAGAGTGGGGCCATGCAAACATAAGGGTGGGAACTTCAGCTCATGATTCAAGCCCAAAAAGGGGCCACCAACCTATGGGGATGTAGGTCGAGTTGAAAAAGATGTTGATTGTTGTGCTTTGAACAAGACAAATCCAGGCAAGATGTAGGTCGAGTTGAATCGGAAAATGAAGTCGACCATTAACGACGGTCAAAGGTGACGTCGGGGTTGGAGTTGGTGGTTTGTCGAGACTCACCTGATGATGGACATGGGGCAAGGATGTTTGGCGGATGTGTGGGGAACAACTAGTCCTCAGGCGGAGAGTTCGAAGTCGAAAGGCAGGGAAACGACAGTAGTGGAGAGACGCAGGC